AATTTTTGAAGATCAAAGCTATCCGGAAAGCATGGAGCCGGAAGAGAGTTCCACAAGGAAGAAGTGAGCGAGAACAATAGAAGAGTAATCAGGAAGACAGTAGATAACGATTGACATTGCATATAAATTTTTGAAGATCAAAGCTATCCGGAAAGCATGGAGCCGGAAGAGAGTTCCACAAGGAAGAAGTGAGCGAGAACAATAGAAGAGTAATCAGGAAGACAGTAGATAACGATTGACATTGCATATAAATTTTTGAAGATCAAAGCTATCCGGAAAGCATGGAGCCGGAAGAGAGTTCCACAAGAAGAAGTGAGAACGAGAACAATAGAAGAGTAATCAGGAAGACAGTAGATAACGATTGACAACGATTGACATTGCATATAAATTTTTGAAGATCAAAGCTATCCGGAAAGCATGGAGCCGGAAGAGAGTTCCACAAGGAAGAAGTGAGCGAGAACAATAGAAGAGTAATCAGGAAGACAGTAGATAACGATTGACATTGCATATAAATTTTGAAGATCAAAGCTATCCGGAAAGCATGGAGCCGGAAGAGAGTTCCACAAGGAAGAAGTGAGCGAGAACAATAGAAGAGTAATCAGGAAGACAGTAGATAACGATTGACATTGCATATAAATTTTTGAAGATCAAAGCTATCCGGAAAGCATGGAGCCGGAAGAGAGTTCCACAAGGAAGAAGTGAGCGAACAATAGAAGAACAATAGACAGAGATTGACATTGCATTTAAATTTTGAAGATCAAAGTATCCGGAAAGCATGGAGCGAAGAGAGTTCCACAAGGAAGAAGTGAGAGAACATTGAGATAACGATTGACATTGCATATAAATTTTGAAGATCAAAGCTATCCGGAAAGCATGGAGCCGGAAGAGAGTTTCATGGAAGAAGTGAGCGAGAAGAAGAGTAATTCCACAGTAGATAACGATTGACATTGCATATAAATTTTGAAGATCAAAGCTATCCGGAAAGATGGAGCCGGAAGAGAGTTTCAGACAAGGAAGAAGTGAGAGAAACAATAGAAGAGTAATCAGGAAGACAGTAGATAACGATTGACATTGCATATAAATTTTTGAAGATCAAAGCTATCCGGAAAGCATGGAGCCGGAGAAGAGAAGTTCCAACAAGGAAGAGAAGAAGTTGAGCATATAGAACAATAGAAGAGGAATCAGAAGAAGAGTAGATAAAGAGTATTGAAGACAGTAGATAACGATTTTGCAAAATTTTTGAAGATCAAAGCTATCCGGAAAGCATGGAGCCGAAGAAGAGTGCCAAGGAGAAATGCAAGAAAAACTGTTAGGATAGAATTTACAGTTCCATCTAGCCATTTCAACTGTGAAATGATGAGACCTTGCTGCCAATCTAGTACTACGCCCAAATTCATGAAGTCTAGATACCAATGAGGAATGCTCATCAGAACAATTACAATGAAAGTTAAAGGCACAGGGAAGCTACATTATGGATGTTTAGGATATCTCGTCTAGTTCTTATTTTTAGTCCTGCTCAGTTATTGCTCTCCCTGTTTCCACTCTTGTCCAAGGACACACTGCCCGACCCAGGATTGAACTCACAATTATTATGTCAGTAATTCAAATGAACCCTTTAAACTTTTAGGATATCTTAATCTAGTTCTTAACATGCCTAATCAAAACTCACAATTACTATGTCATTTCAGAAAATGATGCCTAATCAAAAAATATTTCAGAAAATGAGCCTAGTTAAGAAAATAATAGAGACAAATAATTTGTGTTTGTTATGTAGAAATCATTTTGAGAGCAGTAAACTTATTTGCAGATTGTGGGTGGAGGGGGTAATAATACTTGTAGAATAACATTTAAAGTCTACAACTATTGCCACCTTATTAGTAAACCATTTGATTTATTTAAAAATAATTATAGAAAAAGAGTCGTGTGCTCAGAATATGAGGCTCGGTAAAACAATTTAAAGGAAGGTAATTGTATTTGGTATGCGAAAATTATTTCGGACGCTAAAATAGAAAATTTATTTTTATGAATCATAATGAAAAAGGTGACTCGGTACTTTGACATGGCGTGCTTGCAAACTTACGAGTACGACTGAGTAGCGGGTTCGATCCCCACCGAGTGCTCCGTCCCTGGTAACACTAAAAAGTGGTATACCCTGGAGAAAAAAGGTCCCCAAATGGAAAAAAAAAAAAAATTTAACGTGTAAATGTCTGTTAAAATTAAAGAGGGAAGACCAAAGTATTTTTTCAGATTTTTTAATCCTTCAATTAAAATTCAGTTACACCTTTTATTTTTTTATTGTTATTACTTTTTAGCAGAAAATTTTTTAATAGAGATATTTCCAACCGTAGTGCCTGCCTAGGTGTGTGATTGAGGTGTTAATTGATATACATGTCAATATTGAAAACTTTACGTCAAAGGAATTTATCGTACGGTAGCGCAGAAGTGATGTAATTCGTTCTAATTTTAAGTGAACCTGGTTAGTAAATTTAAAAAAAAAAAAAATTCACTTTCAAATCTTTTTAACCTTACGTTTGAGGAAAAATTTCTGAAGTAAAAAGAACTTGCTTCTATCAAAAGAAACAAGTCTACCTCATGTGACATTATTTCAAAGCTGTGCATCCATACTTTCGTTGGAGATGATTTTAAATACAATTTTGGAATATTAAAAAATTATTTTTAAAATATCAACAGTTGTCACATTTTAATAAGCTTTCAAATTTATGATCTTCAAAAAGTAGAGAACAAAATATGTCATTTCCATAAGGTTGCATAAAGAAACTTAATTTTAAAATATAACAGTGTGACTTTTGTCATTGTGTAGTATTTAAAATAGGAAAAAAAAAAAAAAAAAAAAAAAAAATTGTAAAAATTCATTTTTTTTTTTTCCAGATAAGAATTACCTTAGTATATGTTATTCAGAAAAGTCATAAAGAGCTTTTTTAATTAAATATTGTCTTAGTTTTATTGGGGTTTTTTGTATGTTTACAATTGAGCGTAAAAGTTTGGACAATTTTACACATTTTTTTTACCAAAAAAAAAAAAAAAAAAAAAATCGATGATTTTAGAATCTTCAGAAAAAAAAAAAATTCCGGTTGCAAAAATAAATTTTTTGAAGTTTTCACAAAATTAAATTCGGAGGGTGTAAACATATATAAAAAAAAAAAAATATTTATACCATGACTTTCAAAAAGACAAACATTTCTAAAATAATTTCATTCATTTGTGAATAAGTTCTGAAAGTTTCATAAAAATCCAACAAGTACTTGATTTTTGCAAGATTTTCCAAATCAATGTGTATTTTTCCAACTGAAAATAGTGAAAAAAAAACCTAATGAACCTAATTTTTGACCTAAAAAAAAAAAAAAAAAAAAATTTTTCAACCTAAATTTAAATAAAATATGCTGCAAATGAAAACAAAATTTTTTTAAATAATTAAAAAATACCTTGGTCTTCCCTCTTTAATTTTAACAATCATTTACACGTTAAAATTTTTTTTTTTTATCAATTTGGGGACCTTTTTCTCCAGGGTATACCACATTTTTAGCGTTACCTGGGACAAACCTTTAAGGATTAATAAGAAAAATCACCACAATGATAATGAAAAAGTGACTTCATGCTACTTTTAAAACGCATATTTAAAAAAAATTTATAAGTTATGTAAATGAAATATAATTTTTTAATTATTTTTAATTTGTAGCGTGTAACACCGACTTCTTGTCCCTACACAAAACTTGGAAGCTCCCCCACATCGCAGCTGGGGGCACATATATATATATATATATATACACACACTTACTGTTAGTTAAGTAGACTGAATAAGCAAACAAGACTGTCCTTTTGGATCGGGTTGGATATCAATCGAAAGGACCGCATCACTTTCAAAGATTCTTTATTACATTGAAATTGATTGTAAACAGGGCTGACCTTTTATCGCCTCATTTTAACTTAATACAGATTTTTTTCTAAAATAATTTGGTTTCAGAAAAAAAACAAAAAAAAAAAAAAAACAGTAAAACTGAATAAAACTTGATTTTTTTTTTTTTTTTTAAACAAATATTTCTTTTAAATTCCATGCATTTTTTCCTTAAATTAATAAAAAACATATTGACATTTTCTGTGGATCTTGACACAGAAAAGGTGTTGATTAGCAAACAATACTGTCCTTTGAATTAATAATTAGCGTAATAATGCGAATTATGTTCGCGTGTACGATTATGTGAACAAGAATGTCCTTTAGTTTTTTGAGGATATTTCACATTTTTTAAGAACCTCTAAAAGAAGAAGAGGGTGGATTCTTCTTTTCTGTGTATTTCCAGAAAATAATTGTTTATTATTCGATAGATAAATAAAATAAATTAATAAACCTTCGTAGAAAAACAAAAATAAATCAACTGATGGCAAGAAAATGTCTGTATATTTTACAAGTAAAAGTAAATTATTTTTTTTTAATTTTTTAGGTAAATTTACTAGTTTTTATTCATTTTTTATTGTTTTTTCGACAGTAAAGAAAACTGGAGGTAATTTTTAAAAATAAAGAAAATATTTTAAATTCAGTTTTAAAATTTATTGTAGAAAAACGGAAACAATTAAAAAAGACAATAAGTGATTTTCTTTCATAAACATTTTCGTATTATTTTAAAAACAACTACAGAAAAAAGTCTTTAAAAAGAAAGAAAAAAAGGGGATTATCCCATAAAAAAATCCATCATAACAAATATTAAACAACATCAAAAGAAAGTCATATCATCACTGCATAATGTTATAAATTTAGAATCCTGCAAATACCTACATAAACCCTTCTAAATAAATAAAATACTTACCTGTGTTCAGTTTAACACTACATAATCCGATAGATTCCGACTAGATATTAAAATATTTGATTTTACACATGGGTTAAAACTGATTTGTAAGAAACTTGTTGATTGGTTGATGCTAAATAATCAACCAATCAGAAATCAGCTTTTATCTGTATCGTCGTTTCTTGTACCCGGACCACGCCAATGATGGCTGAACTTTTGCAAAACGTGTGCAGTAAATATAAGAAAAGTGTTAGTTGTAATCCAGATCTGGTCGGCCAGATCGAATCATTATTCAGACTATCATCTTATATCATAGCAGGTAAATTTCAGACTGGTCACCTAGTCTGTAGATGTGTTTATTATTGGTTTGTGCTTAACTTGAATCTCTGGTCTGTGTGTGTATGAAAAAAAAATAACTTAATGATGCTTTTGCAAAGAGAAACATTTTTTTAATCAAAAGTTAGAATGTTCTAAACAAGGATACAAAAATTTTAAAAAATAATCAAAATATACTTTGATCTTTCCTCTTAATAATAACGTAAACATTTAAACGATAAAATTTCCTTTTCATTAAGTTTAAGGCAGTTTTTATACTATGCTTTTTTTTTTTAGCGATTTCATGAAGGTATCTAAAAATCAATTAAATATTTTCAACTAATTGTTAGATTTCATCTTTTTTTTTCTTTTGTCTGTCCAGAAACCCTAAAGAGAATCAGTGATATGTATTTTATATAATATATATATATATATATAATTTTTTTTAAACGATCAGGTTTTGTTTGATCATATTTCTTTTTTTTTTTTGTAGTTAGAGAACATTACTTTTTTTAAATGTTTTTTTCTTTTTTTTAATTCATTAATTTTAACTTTCTCAATAAATTCTGACAATGATATAAAAAATACTACCGGTTTTCTTTTTTCTAAGTTGTTTATACATACTTAATGTAAACAAAAACATCTTCGTAATTTTTGTTTACGTGTGTGATTGTTTTGTAAATTATCTCCATCATGAATCACCCAAGAAAGCTTAAAAAATCGAAATTACAGAAGGAAAATACGTCAGTTAAAAAAAAAAGCAACAAAAGATATCTAAGGATGTTATTGATTGAGTAATTAATTCATGAATGAATGAATTTTTATTTATTTATAAGAAAATAAAAGTGGGTGTCTAAGAAAACATTCTGGAAACGATTTTTTAAGCCGATATTTGAAAAATCATAAAAACATTTTTTAGATGGACACTAAAAAAATATAAGCACTACACTTACTTTCGCACTCCAACCCCCGTTGCTTTGGGGTTTATTTTGTTTCTCCAGATTTAATTAACAATAATAAAAAGAATTGTTTCCTGACTTTCGTACCTGGGGCAACCCATTGCTGAATGACAGGAAGAAACCCGGGAGTGGGGCAAAGTAAGTGTATAGTAGCGTCAAATTACAGTTTAAAAACTTTTAAATTGTAATTTGGCGCTACTAAGAGAGAAGTGCTCGGGAAATTAAATCAGTCGAAATTTTATTCGAAACTTTAATAAGTGCTTTAAAGTATTATTCGTACTATTATTACTTGTTTTTGTTTAGTTTAAAAATATTAATTATTGTTTTTTTTTAAGTAATAGAAGACCCAAGAGACACCCAAGGGAGAGCGTGACTGAATGAGTTTGTTGCTGTACAAGCATAAAAAGTAGGAAGTTACAAGTGCAGTTTCTGTTTATGTGGGAAATATAACTGCTAAAAAAGTGACTGACAAAAAATATGTTTTTTTCAAAAAAACATTTTTTGTCAGGAAATGAAATGAGACTTATTTTATGACTATAACTTAAAATATTAATTATAGTTACTTTTTCTGTATTCCCCCCTAGAAGCCGATTCTTTTTTCACAGAGATGAAATCACATAAAAAAAAAAACAATTAGTTTTTAGCTTTTACTAGTTTCTGACGCGCTAGAAAGGATTAAAAAAAAAATTAAATATTCAAAAAATACTTTTGTCTTTCTTCTTAACAAACATTCAGACAATAAAAAATTGTTTAATCAAGTTTGGGGCCTTTTTTCATTAAAAAGTATGCTCTTTTTTATATAAGTATTGAACATGCCTATAAGGTACCTCCACTAGGTGGCGTAAAAAACAGCATAGCATGATGAAGGGGCCCCAACTCAATAAAAACAAAGTTTTCTCATCAAAATGTTTATGTTAAGAGGAAAGACCAAAGTATTTTTAATTTTTTCTATTATTTTTTGAAATTTTTTACTCCTTTCTAGCACGTTCGAAATTTTGGTTAAAAATCCTTTTTTTTTCTTTTTCTTACGACAGAGGCCAACAAGAGAAAAAAGGGTTTGTTTTACTTTTATTTTTTGCGCATTTTCCGAGGAAAACACACATTGATTTGGAAATTCTTGCAAAATTCAAATAATTGTCGGATATTATTGAAACTTTCAGGACATATTCGGAATTGAATGAAATTATTTTTTAGATATTTTTTTTTTTTTTTTTTGTTAGAAAATCTTGGTAAAATTAATATTTTTTTTTTACATTTGTTACCACCCAATTACATAATTTCATGAAATTTCAAGAAATTAAATTTTTAAGGGTTTTTTTTTTTTTTGTTTTTTTAGTTAAAAACAGGACACTTTGGACAAAAAGTAAATCAATTTTTTTTTTTTTTTGTAAAACAATTTCCTGTTTCATCAAGAATCTGCTCTGAATTGTAAAATAAAAAATGCAATAAAACTATGGCATTTAATTAGAAAACTTTTAATTGCTTTTGTAAGTAAGTCTAAGGACAGTGAAGAAATTTTTTTTTTTTTAAAAATCAAGGTCTGTCGTTGATCGTCTACAAAGACAAGGTAAACGCCTTTGATAACATTCTCAGGTTCTATAAATTGACAACACAATTTTTATATCATTTGCTTTTTTTCTTTTTTTTTTCTCTTACGAATGTCACAAATAAAATGATGACAACAAAAAATTAACTTTGATACAACTTTTTTTGAACATTTTTTTTATTTTGGATATGTGTTATCTTTTTTTTTTGTTGTTGTTTAAATGAGTAGTGGATCCAAACAGTGATAAGTTAAATAATATTTTAATAAACTTTAAGAAAAAGAAATAAAAACGAAAATCTTATCTCGATATGACATCTTTTTCACACAAGAAGCTGACTTTTTAAAAATTTTTGGTAAAAATGCTCTCTATCCTGTGTGCACATAGAAAGTGAAAGAGTATGGATACATTTAAATTCAATTTCATAGATCATTTTTAAATTGAAATTCTGGTTTAACACAGAACCGTTATATAGCCTGACATGCTAAATCATTTAGTTATAGAGGAAGCGTCTGGTTAGCAATGTCAGAGTACTGTTTTTAAACAACAAATTTCCCATGATTTTTCTTGAAAACTCATGTCTGCTCAAAACGTATCTCAACATAAATTACATCATATATTATGAAATGGGCTAGTTCCAATAATTATGACGGTTCGTGTAGGGTACAGGTTCAATTTCTGCCAGAGGCCACATATTTTTTATGAAATTTCTTGGACATTCAGGCCAGTAAATGTAATTAATACTGTTTATGATAAGCAGAGCATTAACTTAAATATTTGTATCTATAAAAAAATAATGTATAGACAGAAAATATATTAAAATGATTGTTGAACTTAGTCCATTTCATATATATATGTTTTAAAAAGCTATCTTTTTTTTTTTTTAATTGAATTTACCCCATGCAAGCCAGTAAAGCCACTAAGACACAAAGGGGTTACTGCTGGGTGTGGAAGAATTAGGAACAGAAACATTAATAATGAGCAAGAAAAAAATTTAAATAGGGTACCAATTGCCATCTATCATTTCTTTGGATTCTATTCTGTTTATTGTCTCTTCTCTTTGGTAACATTTTCTCGGTTCACTTCCACCCTCAACATCTTCTTGTGTCTTAGTTGCTTGGGGTGAAAATGTTTTTTTTTTTTTTCTTCAAGTGTTGAGAAATATGTATTTTTTAATCAGTATCACCTGATGCAAGGCAGTAAAGCCACTAAGACACGAGGGGTTACAGCGTGGGAGAATTAACAGCAGAAACATTAATAATGAAGAGGAAAGAGTAATCAGGGGGACGGTAGGTAGTGATTGGCATTGCATTTAAATTTTTGCAGATTAAATTTGGCCAGAAAGCATAGAGCCGAAAGGGAGTTTCACAAGTGAGAAGTGCGAGAAAAGAAACTGCTAGTATAAAATTTACGGTTACATCTAGCCAGCACAAATGTAAATTGATGAGATCCTGACACCTGTCTAGTACTGCGCTTAAATTCATAAAGTCTAGGTTCCACAATGACGAGCTCATCTGAACAATTACCATGAAAATTTTTATAGAAAAGGCACAGGGAGGCAACTTTATGGTGATGTGAAAGTGATTGAAACTAAGTATAAGAATAAATAGCAGGAGCACCAGACTATATGTGGCAGCAATATTTTAAGCATGGATGAATGCTAGACTTATAAATATGCAAGATAGATTCTGAAGAGTAAAATTGTCTAGTGTGATACTGTGAACCAAATTTCTTAGCAGCTGACGTAGCAATGGATTCAATGTAGTCTTTCCACTTCATATAAGCCAAGAATGTTAACCCGAGAAGGCACAACTAGTCACTCTCCTGGAGGTTAGCATCAGCCATGCTAATGGAAGGCAGAAATGGGTCTATCAGATGATTAACAGAAATCAGTTTAGTTTTAGAGACATTAAAATTACAAGCCATTCGTTGTCCCAGTTAACAATTGACTGTAGGTCATTTTTGTGATCAGACACCAATATGATCTTATCGAGTATAGTATCAAGCCAGGAGTAAATGGTTGTATCATCAGCATTGATACCGAGTTGAGAGCTGATATCATCAGGTCGGTCATTAATGAAAATTAAAAACGAAGTGGGACCAAGAATATAGCTCTGGGGGGCACCTGCATTAATAAAGAATGATCTAGAAGAGTGGCCATTCAGGATGCCTTCATTTAGTGATTTGATAAGAAAGACTGAGTAGTTGAGAAATTCGTCCGGAGACACCATAACTTACCAACTTGTGAAGAAGACCAGTATGCCAAACCATGTCAAACACTTTCAAGATGTCCAAAGCAACAGCCCAAGGTTCACCATTCTTATGTAAAACTTGATAGACTTTTTCTGCAATAATTGTAAATACATCAGCCATGTTGCTTGTCTGAAAGAAGACCATGTGTTGTGAGATGCTTAACCAATTAAACGTTGATTAAGGCCTCTAGTAGTTTATCAAAAAGAAATAGAAGGCTAATAAGCCGATAGCTGGAAGGTCCAGATGGT